CAGTCTTTGCACTTTGCACAACGACGCATTATTAAAAAGACAGCAGAATAATTATTACTTTATTAACAAGAGGTAACGCTGGCGAAGATTACGGTATTAATTCAATAGAAAATCAATGTATAAATCTCTAATATTTCCATGGAATCTAGAAATTGACATAAATGAGTCGCAACGCATAGGCCTATAATAATGTAATTTGAATGTATATAAACTGATTTACATTCAATCGTTTCTGTTTTACTGTACTTTCTAATCAGTTATGTTTGACGAAATACGCCAGAAGTCTCAATCGAATGGCGGTCTCTAGCGTCTGGTTATTCCAGTCTACACCGATAGTATTTATTGCACATGCTCTCCAGATAAGAATATGGCGTCACAGTTTGACATGACGTGCGGAATATGTCTAGCCCCGTTCTTCGAGTCCCTTGTTACAAATGGCGCTGAAAAACATTATGGAACACGATCGTGTACCAGTGGTAAAATGTTTATTTTGTTTTAAATATTGGATATCAGAAGCCCATCTTTTTCCGGTAAGATCACAACATCAGTGTTGATTTAAATTGACAAATGATTAGTGTTTTTAATGTCGAAAAGTTTGGATGATACTGAGTTAAGGACTTAGATACTTTAAATGGCCGTAAGTTAAAGGCACGATATTCCAGAATATATAAGGCAAATATAAACATTAAAATCATACATAAATACAAGAAAGCAGTCTTATTAAAAAGCACATCGGTTGTAAAGACAGAAGAATAATCGTTAGTATTATATCTGCCTAATAAAGATCAAAAGAAACAAATATGTAGATCTATTGTTTGTGTATCCGAACTAATTGTTTCTGTGTATTGTCTTAAACTCTACATTTCACACTTATTGTGGTATGAATGGGGCTTTAACAGTCTCTTTCGCGCTCAATATTTATAAAGACATAATATGCGCTAAATGTCAGATGCGAATTTTCAAATTATGAGATTTAATATTTGATATTTCAAGAATTCAGCCGACCAATGAGGCGTGATATTTTTTTGTTTATATAAGTTTACGGAAGTATAGGATTTGTATTTTATCCTCAATGGATCACCATAATCCACTTACACTAATGTTATGAAATAAATTTCCGGAAAATGGCTTTAAAAACACTTAATTTGAAACATATTTAACAGGATGAAATACAAGTTTTGGTCATTACTAAATTGTTCAGAGCAAAGAAATTTAATAAATGTTTTAAGAAGATTTACTATCTTACTTTAAGAGCATTTTTTCATTAACTCTCTTACTTTAAGAGCAATTTTTCATTAACTCTCTTATTTTTAGAGTATTTTATTCAATAATTATACTTTTATATCCACTTTATGCTTTTTGTACTTTAAAAAAGATACGTAAATGCTTTTAAAGGGTAATCATAATCCATTTTTTTATATAGAAAACATGCTTTTGAAATATTAACTACATGTAATTAAAATATGGCCGAAAATTGTAAAATTGAAAGACTGTGCCTATTCTATGTATATTTACCATTTGAAACATCGTGTTCGAAATGCTGGAGTCGCCTGTCCAACCTTGTAGGGTTTCCCCGGCTCCTCCAGTTTCCTCCCACTGCTAAAGACCCCTACGCGCAAGCGAATTATTAAAATAAAATTGAAAGATGTGTTAGTCCCGAAATTTGTGTCGAGTGGAAGTTTTACCTATTTTTAAATTTGTATCAAGCCAGTTAAAATTGGCTTTACATGGATTATTCGTGAGAAAATTTTACATTAAAGGACGGCGGTTTATTAAATTCGCTCGCAGTATGTAGTCCTTGACAACCAGTAGGTTACTAATGAGCGATTAAGCAGAGTTTAGATAACGAACTTAACTCCCTTGAGACCCATCAATAGAGTTTATAAGCCATTTACATTTTTGATCCCGTATCCCTTAAATGAAACGAAACAAAATTTATCTGAGAATAAGCTTTCTCGTTTTACCTCCCGGCGTGGAAACGAAAAACTGTAAAGTTTATCGTGGTTGTTTTACGCGTTTAAGAAACGATAGCGGAGCGGTTTATTGCTGATATTGATAAGAACAGCAATTAAATACAGGCTATAAATTCTATATAATTATAAAATGCTTCAAATCTAAAAATATGATCAAATACCTCTTTTTTTTTTAATCGTAGAAATTTCTAATAGAAATATTCAATGTTTGTAATTCTCTAGTTTTGGATCTATAAAATATGCAGGTTTCACATGTTCTAAATTCTGAGAATACAAATTCTGGTATTTGAAGAGGACGAGAATGGCGTCAGGGGTACCAACATGCACTATTTCATCAGTTTAAGAAGTAAAGAAATAAATAATTCAGCTACAGTTCAAACTCATATCTAATTACATATGAGTTATCTAAATAGTTGGAGATTACATTAATGTATTACATGAATAATAAAGTAAATAAGAGGAAAGGGTGGCGTTGAATATTTTCTAAGTTAACATAAAAGAATATTAAATCAAACCATAAATATTATAAATTTTTCCTAATAGTATTTTTCATTTATCTACATTAAAATTTCAATATTTTAATAGGTTTCGGGTGGTACATTGCGGTTTATATATGAAATAACGGCTGATATGAAATATAATATCTTAGTTTTTCATAAGTATTTTAAAATAAGCTATCAAACAAAATAAAATAGAAAAAATATGCTTGATAAATTGTTCAAAATTTTTTATAGATAAGATTTCTTTTAAAAGCAAACATTTTCATGTCAAAGAAATGTAGCGTTTTATCCGAGGAATCTTGTCGTGAAATGAAAACTGTCGCGCCAAAGTTAGGGCCTGCAGTTTTCAAAGAGGTCGAAAATGTCTTTGATAAGAGAGAATGTATAACGATAATAGTCGACTGATTGTAGTTTTAATTAAAGTTTACTTTTAGCAAGGCTATCATATTACCATCTAAAATCTTATCATTATTTCCCTACAGAGATATACAAACATAAACGACCAGGAGCAAAAAGTTCGTTAAGTTTTGTTTGGCTATAATCCGTTGTAAAGTCGTATTCCAGCCCTGAAATAACTAACTGTGCGAATTTTAAAATTATTTAGTTATCGAGATATCATTGTCGGTATAAAAAAAAATGCAAATCATCCTTATTTCTTTTAAAAAAAGTTTTGTTTGGCTATAATCCGTTGTAAAGTCGTATTCCAGCCCTGAAATAACTAACTGTGCGAATTTTAAAATTATTTAGTTATCGAGATATCATTGTCGGTATAAAAAAAAATGCAAATCATCCTTATTTCTTTTAAAAAAAAGGGACTCAAAATTGAAAATACAACCAGAAAGTTCGTTGCCCATTAATACAATTTCAGCACAAAGTAGAGTAATAAACTCGTTAATGAAGTAAATAAGTCGTGCATTTCATGAGAAAATAAGAATATTATGATATAATATTTATTTTTAAAGATGTCATAAAAAAGCATTTCATGAGAAAATAAGAATATTATGATATAATATTTATTTTTAAAGATGTCATAAAACAGTGCTTTATACAGTAATATTACATTTTTAGAAAAGGTTTTTTCCAATTTTTACAAATTTAATAAAAGGTTTGAATCATAGAGTGCACATTTTCAATCTATATATGTCCGTGGATTGAATGAAATAATGTTTTGATTTATACATATTATTATTAAATTTATGTTATTAGTACTTATCAAGTACTTATAAATTTGATGTACGAGCTCTACGTCCAATGTTTTATATGAAGAAGCGATGTTTTGTACGTTAAAAAGTATCAAAATTAGTCATTAATGTTAGCTTTTATACAGACCTACAAACCACACTTATAATGAGTTCTTTAATATGGAGCACGTGTTTACCATTGAATTTAAACTGTGTTTACTTGATTCACATGTTTAAATAAATACATAGACACGTGTTGAACACTATTTACTTACATCTTCATCAAAAACACAGTGTTACAACTATGTCTCGTAATTACTTTATAATAATGTACAAAAAACAAGGCGAAATAACGGCACTCTGACGTAGACCTTCACCAAAATGTCAATTTATACAAAATGGTAACTATAGGGAGATTTAAGGGTACCATGGCGTACCCTCAAAATGATAATCCATAGAAATTATTAATGAAAGAGAAATGAAAGACGAATGAAACAAAATGAAATGGTGTTTAACGTCCTACTGTTCTGCTCCGACTGGAAGACTAATGAACTAATTAAATGGTGTACAAGAAATATGTTTAATATAAATTTTCATTATACTATTAAACACAAATAGGAAAACACACTTAGGTTGTACTAAATAACTAATAATATACCTAAGGAATGAAAAAATGAAGGTAATCTAGTGTACAATTAAAAACGCTAGAAGGCAGGTGTGTTATGATAAATATTTTCCGATCATTCCATTGCAATTTTCTTTTTATGTGTGATAAGTATTCAATAAAAACTGAGTTGCGTGATGAGATGGAATAGCTGGGGGCATCGTGCTGTGATAGTAAATGGTATAACGTACCGGGTTGTGTTATTCTGTTTGTGGGTATAAGAAAATAAAAGTATGTAGATCTACATTTTCTGTCAATTATCGATAAACAAGGTCTCCCAATCCAAAAAATTGAGAAAAAAATCACAAATCGATCAATTAATCGCAATAGGTCTACTTTGTACATCAGAAGTCACTTTGAGAAACTTCAATATGATTTATCGCTTCGAAATATTTAATTGAAAAAATATACTGTAAACAACTACAAACTTTGAAAGTTTATTCCGTCTGTAGTTTCTTTCATATAGTCTTATCTTGATCATTATCAGTATTTTTATACCTAACTCTAACCTAAACCTAATTAAATATTGAATAACGCCCACATTTGATGACAGAACCGTAATAGTGCATTTATCCGACAACATCTTGAATTGTGCCTTCAATCCGGCATAGTTCAATTTCATTTCCGAGGCATCATTTCTCTGGAAATTTTGGATAAAATAAAAACACGTGGAGAAACTTACTGTTATTAGAGTTGTGTCTGTCACCATGGAGATCATCACTGGAACCAGTACCACCATTTGGAGAATATTTATCAACATGGAGGGGTGGGGAGCACGTGGGAGAGTGTTCTAGGGCGTGTCTAGGGTCTGTATTAGCAAACATTGCACAATTCTCATTAGGAATTTCTTCCAAGTCCAATATATGATTCACCGAAAAGTTGGCTTTGTTATGTTGTAAAGCTGCATGATAAGCATGCACTTTTTCATAATTACTTGCAAATTGATGCTCAGCGGCGATTGCATAGCTACTCATCATGGCAGAGTTTTAGAATTATAGCAAAGTATTTTATATATATAAAGTTGTTTCTTCTTTTAAAACCACGACATACGTTTATTAAATGTAAACAAACTAGTTCTTCATTAAGACTCGTAAGTAGCTCCAAAAGTAATTGAAGACGGTGATAACGTTTCCTTAAATAATTAGATTTGACACGGATTCATTCAAGTTAAAATGGTTCTCAGATTAGTGACACTTTCTTAACCAGTTTGTAATCAAAGTATTAATTACGTTGTTGATAATTCAATTGTCTCTTTCACTTCTTGTATTTAATTATAACAATTATAGCTGACCCACTCGTTCACGATAGCTTCATCTTTTTACATCCAATATCAGAGCCAATTATCCTAATGTATGTTGCTGGGATTTCTGATCAACTTGGAATCTTGAGTTACTGACTGTGTAGGCAGAGACCTTGGTATACTAGATATGCGATATATAATGATAAACAAAACAATATGGTCTGAACGTGATGTTCGGCGACTAAGACTTCTCTTCAGTACCAACTCGCAAACAAGACGGGTACAATACTCTACGTCCAGACGAATTGCCAAGTTAATGGAGTATTTTGCTTAACAGTTCCGATAAAACACACAATCCAGTCCAGAATTCATTATAATAAACTCGAAACCAACATACACTGTATTAGACGGGAATCCGATACTAGAACTTACCCGCTTTTTTACCATGTGATGCCAAATTCCATGAGTGACAGGCGCCAAACTGGAACCAGCCAATAAGAATCGAGAAGACGGTAGACTTGACCAATAGAATGAGCCGAAGGGTGGAGATAAATGCCAAGAGAGTTTTGTAATGGGATTTAGGGATTTCTAGTGTACTCAGCTAACACTATCTGGTGCCAAACGGGGGATTAAAAGAATTCTGGTTCGAATGTATATCAATTTCATGATAAAGAACAAAAATATAAGAGGAATATTATGTGAGAAAAATTTCATGGAATCTTTTCACGCACCATCTTGAAAAATAATAATGTCAAAGAAAATGGTGTTTGATAAAGATAAGAATGGTATAAATACTCAAATTTTCAGAGATATATTCGCTTTGGAGTAATATTAATATTGCTTTTTTTCTTTTTTCATTAGCAAACATTACGAAATGTAGGCCTGTCCAAGTCTTTAATACATATAATCATATTCTATATCGCCAGCAGCATAAATGTTCTTCCCTGGCTTTTTTGAAGGAAGATTCCTGTAGCCTATTTCATTCATAAGTAAAGTGAGTTATGCAGACTACAGAAACTGAAAAATCATCTTGACCTTCCCCAAGAACACGTCGAGCGAAGCAAAATATATTATTGGCAAATGAAAAATAAATTCTATGGTAAATTCTACATTTACAAGGAAGCAAAGAAAGCTTCAAAAAATTTCTGGAACCGAGTAAATATGTATAAGACCCGTTTGAATAATTACAAAATTATTCCGGACAACCATTCGACCATCACCACAACGGCAGTTTTGAAGATAGCAATTACTGGAAAGAGAAGAATTTATTTTGATATTATTTTTTTTTTCATACGGCATATGGAAAGTTTCATGTCACTAATAAATTATTCTTCCTGGTTATAATTCGGTTATTAATTTAAGGAGTTTACATCTGATTGTTATTCAGGGTCTGTCACACTCGTGCCACGTGCTGGTAACTTTTCTTAATGGGATGGGACTATTTACATAATTGGTTATTTTATCAACTTGGAAAATCTTTAGCATTCTTTTAAGCAATGATCCGCAGCATATACCATCAAATTTGTCAAAGTTTTTTTTTAAAATAAGGCGATCTGAAGACCATATATTTTGTTTGGTCGTATTTTAAAATGGACTGAAATAGAATCATGAATTTAAACATGTTACAATAAGTAACAATTAAAATCAATGCTACATATAAGCGTGTCAGTGATAATCCATACCGGACCACAGCTGGTGTCATTAAACATTTGTGTAATTTCTATCTATACATTTAGGTTACCAATATCTTCCCTTCTCGAATTGGATTGTGTGGAGGCAGACTATCTCGGTACCCACAAATTGTAGTTCGTCTATTTATAACAATTCTGTCTCTGTCTTTTTTCCCCCCTTTTGCATGCCCATTTTTGTTGATTTTTTGGTCTAGAATGGACGAAGGGGGTTTGAATTAACATTTTCTGCCCTGTTCCGGTAAATATTTATGATTTTGAGGCGGAAGAACAACAGAGTTATCAGGTTGGTTACGGTGGTATATAAGGCAACTAGTTACATGTTTTAGTATGCTTCTTCAAGTTTGTGTATCTCAAAATTTTGGTAGTCAGCCACATACAAATTTTAGTACAAAGATATGACCATTTGTTCCTCTGTCTGTAGTGAAAAGGATTCAGCCCAACGAAAATTTGTGGAAAAGTTGGAGGTGGGCAAAGAGGCCAGAATTAACATAGAAGTCAGTGGGGAAATTAATTTCATACTGTAGACATCTAGACCTACCTTACATAAGGTAAAATAATTTGTATTTTGTTCGTATTGTTATTAACCTGTGCAGGAGTCGGTTGATCTTGCGCCGAAGATTGTCTATTTGAAATGAAAATAACAGCGAAGACATGGCATGTGTAGATAATGGGCAATTACAGCGGACACATAACTTTACATGAGTTATGATCAACGTCCAAAAACTGGTGATAACAAGTGGCGCATTCTGCCAGAGAGTTAATTAGCGAGGAAGCGAATTTTGACAGACTTCTGCTTTACATGTGTGTTTGGCTCCAGTTTGACTACCAGGCCCACGAGAGGCTTTGTACAGACGCTCATTGCCATCAAATGAGAAAAGCTAACGAAATAGAAGAGCGAACTTTTTTCCAGACTACATAGATTAAATATTTAAACCAGTTGTTGTAAGATTTCATCAACAAATAACGACATGTTGGTCCTCCCTGTCGCGACAACCGTAACTTCCGGTCATGCAGGTTGGTAACGTGACGATAAAAAGAAACAATTTCTGCGGATAAGATAAATTGAGTTACGGGGAAGCGCATGGTTACATAATCATGCTCAATATTTGGGTTATAAATAACGAAAAGGGGTCGCGAAAATAATGATCGAGTCACCTCGACTATTAGACAAATATAAACATGATATTCGGAAGTAAAGCCCACGTCTGCAAGAACTTGTAAACGAGGCTCATTAATCTAGACTCCCCTCTTCTGTCGACAAGGCAATCAGTGTTCTTCGGTTAATTACAGAGTCGTTTTACACATTTCCACTTGGATGGGCATCATTATATAAACATTTATAATATTTTGACTAACAACATTGCTAAACGTTACGAAAATACAGCAATTACCTTTGTGGAAAAACTGTAGGAGATTTGGCTCATGAACAAGGTTTTACAAAGCTTTACAGACCCATGGAGTAATTAATGGTTTAAATATTAACAGAATGCTATGTTGATGATGAAGAAAAACAATAAGCGAATGTGACCAAAAATAATAATGCAAGCAATTGAAATGCATACAATGTTAAATATGGATAGAGAAAAGTTTAAGTCTCAAACTCTGTATTTAACTAAAATGACCAGACTAAAAATAATTTTCAAAATGCAGTGCAGCAAAACAAAATAATAAGCTCAAGAGAGTGGTATCGAGTGTTCTGAAAGGTAATCATATATTCTAACTCAGAAATAATGGGGCTGTAAGTTTGGACGTGGCTTATAGAAGCCAAACCTAACAAGGAGAGGGTAAATTCGCAGGAATGGTTACCCGTGGACGTGGAATCAAATGGTTTAATGTAAACAGAACAGAACATTTATAAGTCTTTTAACAATCGGTTGCCACATAAGTGCAAAAATACAGTACTAGATGCATATCTGCCTATCTAAAAATACATTTTAATGTTAGGGCAATGTTAAAAATAGACAATTATTTGCCATTAGGGGGTCACGGTGGCTAAGTGGGTAAGACGCTGGCTCGCTAGCCTGGAGGTCGGGTGTTCAATCCCTGCATTGGCGAGAAAGTTCATCCAGATTCGGATGGGACGAAAAAACGAGGTCACGGGTACATATTGGCGTGCACGTAAAAGATCCCTTGACAGTTGTAATTCGGTATAAGAGTAGGCCGTAGTGCCGCAGTCCGGGCAAAATTTCTCTCATAGCACACTGTATGGCTTATGCCCGTCTTCATTAGCCCAGTTCGGAGCAGAACATTAGGACGTTAAACCCCATTTCATTTCATTTAATTTGCCATTAGGTGGGAATAATAATGGTTTTCAGGATTAAGATATAGTGAACATATAACTGATTAACAGAAATTATACAATGATGAAATCAACACTCGCTGTCTATAATGATTAGCGTCGCTTAACCTCTAATCTGATCTAAGAGGGTTAACCTGCTAATCTGCTGCATCCTCACAGTCCTGGCACTGTGGGAATCATCTTGAGAAACCTATGAGATTAAAATGAAAGTGTAATTTTACTACTTCATATCCCAACCAAAACACACATTACAACCTGTTTAGAACTGGTAAAAGAAAAGTGTAATTATGGACAAGTTTGCTTTCAGAAGTGTTTCGTTGTACCGTAGATTCATGTTTGAAGCCCTCGTGGCTTCTCCTTCAAAACTTCACGGGGACATGAGATGGGTGCCTATAAATGTTCGCCAATTTGTTTGTGATGTTTGTGATGTTTTCGAAAGAAACTCTTATGTGTCTTTAGAAAAATGGTTCAATGATGTAACCCATGTTAGCGCTAAAGTCGGCCAAGAACACAATAAGCTCCGGTCATATCGTTTGTTCAAGTCTGCGTATGGACCCGAGAAATATGTAATGGACAATATTATTCCCCTCCCATCGCAGTGCTCTGTTGAAATTTAGATGCGGAGTAACTCCGCTCCGTCTAAAAACAGGGCGGTGTGAAGGAATCCCCATTGAGAACCGTCTTTGTTTTTATTGTACCCGTTAAAGTCGAAAATGAAGAAAATTGTCTTTTAGAATGCGAACTATATAAAAATGTTTTATTCATGCACCTTTCTACAAGTTGTGTGTCCAAACTTTTCGTCTTTTAGTAATTCTGATAAAGTGTCTTTTATATCCATGTTCGTGAATGGGTTCTTATTTTTAGCCTAGTATAGATTTTATTTTTAGAATTTCTGGGGGGTGGGGGGGGGGGGATTTGTATTTTACTTAGCTTATTTATTTGTTTCTATATAATATACATATCGTCTCTCATAATTCTTAATGAAAGCTCGAGTGGGATCCTGGCATATCACGAGACAAAATGACATATTAATTACATAATGCCAACGGACAAAATGACAACGTAAAATAATGTCACAAAATATCCCAATACTGATTATGGACATACTGTCACAGTGAGATAGTGTCACACAATATTGATTATGGACATAATGTCACAGTGATTTCTTTTCCTTTTTTTTCACTTTAATATACTAATGACTAACCCTATCTCGCTGATAATTAAAGAGCACATTAACGTGGATTAAGCCGTGGATTATTGTGTGAAAAAAGCAAAAGAGGATCACCAGCTATAAAGTGAAAAATAAAATTAAAATGTCCAATATTAAACATACATTATGCAAGAGCTAAATCTGCCTATTTCAGGTCTTTCTTTGGGCCTTAAATGTTATCAAAATTATTA